ATGTTATTAAAGTCACGTGAATACGTTTGTTCTCACGATAAGTCATTACAAACATGGTGGCGATGGATGTAAACACATAGCATGTTGCTACCACGACACTAGCGCTCATCATCAGAGGAGACGTCGGCGTCTTTTATCGAGGCTTTCCAGCGACAAGTCCCTACTTGGGAGCGGCTACGTATGCTGCGTTTTTGGGAAATTGTAGTCGGTGAGTTTACTACTTTATACTACCTCCTGTTATCTTAATTTTCACCAGTAGAAACAGCCGGTTGTTGATCACGTGACTCTCCTGATGTGAAAAAAGTGTTTCCATTGCAGTTTTGCGAAAAGCACCAATTACGATGCGGCCGAAATACCACCTCATCCTAGCGCAAAAACGTTTTGTCGAAAAACGTAAATTTTTTTTAAATTGATGTGTTTCCATTGAGCAAATTTTTTTTCGAAATTCTGATTTGCGCATTTTCATGTTCAATGGAAACACAGCTGATGTGTCTCTATTCTCCCCCATAGAACTTTGTCACTTAATTTTTGGACCACAATGGAAATAAGTGAATCTCACGTTCTTGTGTTATACAAGTACTAACAATGGGCCTCATGCAAGAACATGTTCGTATTCTTATCCTAAATTTCTCTTACTTTTGTTCGTATAAAGGGTTCATACGAACATGCCACATCAGATTCAACAAACTCTTCTATCTTCAGGAAAAGTGTGTAAATGAGCTGCGTAAACATGATGAATTCACGCGAGAGGAGATTAGCATAATCACCTCCCCAAAAACACCATATAAGGCTATGTTTCCTGCCTCAGATACCAGGAAGTGTCCATTCATGCAAATGACATTGAAAAGTAAAAAGAAGAACTTTACGAGTTCGGAGATTGAAGTCCTGCTCTCAGAGATCAAGAAAAGAAAATCTGTCCTTTTTAGCAGCGTCAGCTGTGGAATTAAAGGACCAACTAAAGCCAAAGAATGGAATGAAATAACTACTGCTGTTACTGCTGTGTCTCCTGTGGGTCGTTACGTCACAGAAATAAAAATCCAAATCATATTCATCTCTCTCTAGTCCTGCTCTGGTTCTTCTTTGGTCAAATATTTTTAATTTAAGTGTAAACAACTGGGTTACATAGTTTTCATTTATTCAAAGGAAGAGCAGTCGCGCATCTAACCTAACCCAATCTAACCTAACTTAACCTAACCTAACCTAACTTAACCTAACCTAACACTAACCTAACCTAACTTAACCTAACCTAACCTTACACTAACCTAACCTAACACTAACCTAACCTAACTTAACCTAACCTAACCTTACACTAACCTAACCTAACATAACCTGAACCAGAACTTAACTCACACCGTACCTCTAAACCTAACTAGTAAAGCACAGCAGTGTGTGGACATTGAAGAGGTCCTCACTTTACATCAAAGACCTCACTTTGATAGTAACTATGGTGAAAATGGTCCTCACTCTTATGTAGAAACAAGAACACACACACACACCATGAACCATCTCTTTTAAAAACACCCTCCTCTTTTCCACCACTCTGCACTTAAATCGACTCTACAAATAAATTTGCTCTCAGTGTTCTGATGTCCTCTGCTCGGACCAGAACTGATCAGCTGGACGGACCTCATTCAGACTTTTTT